TTATATACGGGGGAGGGGGCATCCCATAGACACACAAGTTGATTTTTTTTATCCATGTGCGGTGCCCCCCTTCACAGTTTTCGACCTCGGTCATATTGTCGTAGTGCTTAGGCGAAGCCATGCGTCGGTAACTTCATCATCACCGTCAACACGCCGTCATGCTGACGAAACTCTCCCTCGCCTTCAGCTGGATCTAGAGTTCGAGGGACGTCACCGAGCTGAACGTGTGCAGATCGCGGAGGTGCCGTGCGTTCGGTACTTGATCGGTTGGATCGCGAAGACGTTCCACTACATCAACCGCGTTACTCAACACTTCCGCTTTCGGTCTACGAGGGTACGTAGACACACTCTCCCCTCTCATTGCTATGCATCTCCTAGATAGAGATATTGCGTGATCGTAGGATTTTTTTTTGAAATATTGCATTCCCCAGCAGAAACCTCATCAAGTGGGCGGCACAATGCTTCGGTTGACTCATATAGAAGAGTTACCTTACCCCGCCAAAAAAGAAACAAGAAAAAGGAAAAGAATAGTTACCTTATTTTTAAGCAAAACTAAACCCAAAATTATACAACAATGTGATTGATTAAATACACTCCCAAGTTAGAATATATTATTAACTAGAGTTCTCCAAAATTCTTGCATGCAAGTATATTGCATTTGTGAAACCAAGTTGACCTTGAAAACTTCTTCTAATCTCACCCCTCACAAGGTGAATAGAGTAAAGCCTTCCTCTCATCGATCTTCGGCAATGGGCCGGTGGATTTGCCTCCCCTCTGTTACTAGCTCCGGTGGCCAGTGGCGGGGAAGGAAATACTTGTACCGTGGCTCCGATTAGTAGATAAGTTGGGATTTTAGTCCTCACAATGGCGGCACTTGGGCCGATGGCAGCGCTTCAACTTGGAGTTGGTCTTCCAGGCTCCGATCCTCCTCTAGTTCTTCTGTTGGGACAATTTTGACAGAGCTCTGTGTAGATTGTTGTCGGCTCCTCAGGTGCCGAGTTTAGGGTTTCTCGTCGACGCGATGGCGAAATTATGTGTCTGGTTCTTTAGATCGATTCAAAGTTTCAACGGCGAGGATAACGACTCCAAGGCACTGGTCCTTAGGGGCACATACATGATGACTTGATGGATGTCATTGACAAGGTCAAGTGGCTCCGGTACGGGAGTTGTGACAGCGGCAGGTCGACGGTTCATTCTAACGGCGGCAGTTATTGTTCGTTGGTCCAAGAACCTTAATGTTTTTTTATGTTTGTGGTACTTTGTACTTCTATTGAATCTTTATAATACATCTGAACCGTTTTTTAGAAAAACTTATACTCCCTCTGTAAACTAATATAAGAGCATCCAGATCACTAAAATAGTTCTCTAAATGTTCTTATATTTCCTTATGGATGGAGTACATAAGAGAAAACATCACGACTCAGATAAATAAAAGCCGGCAAAAAGATACATATATCCCTTTGTGACTATTAAAGAAAAACCGAGGCCGGCCGCACGCAATTTTCTTTGCTGGGGTGCCAAAATGTAAGCATGAAAAGCATTGCTAGTTGTTGGCACGCGATGGCTCTCCTTGACCAACCGGAGACCCCAAAGAAAGTGCTTCTGTTATGTCCCCACCCCACTCAACTAATCAGACAATTCCCACGTATTCCTCCAACCTAAAGCAAATCCATCCATGATCCACCGATTCCTTCATGCTGATTGTCACCCACAAAAACAAATCCCTTGTAGTAGTACTTCTTCTTGCCAGCTTCACTAAAAATATTCTATCGCGGTCACGGCGACCAAAAGATGCGCGACCATAAATTGATGGTCACCCTCCCCCTCCTCTATAAATTGATGTCCGCGCGCTTCCTCCCAGCCACGACCAGTTCTCTAGCTCATGCCCATCTAGCTTCCCGGTCTTCTTCTTCGACTTCTTCCTCGGCTGCCGCCTGTTTGCCGATAGATTCTTTTCCATTCTCAAGCTACAGCGAATTCAAGGTAGACATGGACGAGCAGTGGATGATCGGGCAGACTTCCCTCAGCCTTAGCCTCAACGTCGGCGGGCCTACGGCGCGGCGAGGTGCCCCTCCGGTGAGCAAGGTCCTCGTGGAGGAGGACTTCATGTCCTCCAGGAAAAATCACGAGGTCGAGGCACTGGAGGCCGAGCTCCGGCGAGTGGGCGAGGAGAACAGGAGGCTCAGCGACATGCTTCGCGCGCTGGTGGCCAAGTACGCCGACCTGCAGGGCAAGGTCAGCGGCATGATGGCGGCGGCCAACAACCACCACCAGTCGTGGACGACATCGGAGGGCGGCTCCTCGGCGTCGGCGATCAGAAAGCGCCCCCGCAGCGACAGCCTCGACACGGCCAGCCGCAACCCTTCGCCTCCGCTCACCGCGGCCGGCAGCAGCGGCCGCTTGGCCGTCAGCGTCACCGTTGGCCCCGACCAGGCGGAGTGCACGTCCGTCCAGGAGCCCTGCAACAGCAAGCGCGTCCACGCCGACGAGGTCAAGGCCAGCAGGGTCTCCAAGCTCTACGTCCACGCCGATCCCTCCGACCTCAGCCTCGTAAGTAACGAACACCCAGCACCGACCGTCCATCTTCTTCCTCGTGATTATCGATCGCGACGAAAGTTCTTGCCGTCCATTAACTAATCAATTTGCGCTTGGTTTTGACGAGCAGGTCGTGAAGGATGGGTACCAATGGCGGAAATACGGGCAGAAGGTGACCAAGGACAACCCGTGCCCGAGGGCCTACTTCCGGTGCTCGTTCGCGCCGTCGTGCCAGGTGAAGAAGAAGGTGCAGCGCAGCGCCGAGGACAAGACCGTGCTTGTCGCCACGTACGACGGCGATCACAACCACGCACCGCCGCCCAAGCAACAAAGTTCTAGTAGCAGGAAGAGCGGCGACGCAGCCGCCGTCCGCGTATCAGCTGCGCCGGTGCTTGCCCAGCAGCAGCGGAAGCAGGAAGCTTCGACGGCGGAGCAGGTGGCCGATAGGAAGAACCTGGTGGAGCAGATGGCGGCGACACTGACGAGGGACCCCGTGTTCAAGGCGGCACTCGTCTCGGCGCTCTCTGGTCGGATCCCTGTTGCTTGACCGGAAAGCTGCCAGGCCAGCATAGGAGAATATAGTCACATGAGCAAAACACTTCTTCAGAGGAAAAAAAACAGAAGAAAACATTACATGTATTATTGATGTAAATGAATCCTAGACCCGCAAATTGGGGCCATGGAAACCGGATCCTCTAATTTAGGGAAGGAAAGTGCTAGCCTAGTGTAAAATGAAGAAGAAAAATTAAGGACTGTTAGCAGGTTGTTTACTGTTGGTATTTATTGTAGATATTATTACTCTAAAATTAATTTTAGTTTATCATCAATTTGTTGGTATGTAAATATTATAAATGTACACAGCTGATCTGTAATTTACAAATTAATTTAAGTTTTTTTAGCCTTGATCATATGGACTGATAGAAGGTGTACCGTAGCTTCTTTAACTTCCCTTCTGTATGTTAGAGAGTTCCAGGCCATGGGGTGAAATGTGGAGCCCACACGCTCTGTATGGCTATGTCGTGTGGGGCGCATAGAGCCCCACTAGCCACCTCTCTGCAACATATGATGTTGGATGACCCAAAAACCGGAGGATTTTTTTTATCATAGTTCTCAACATAAGCATCATGGGCAACTATCTCTTCTCCGCGGCAGAAGGGAGAAAACTAATTCTTCTCAAAGGGTTGATTTCAACGGAATTTGCCTACAAACGAAGGAAATCGATGCCATCATCGTTCTCAACACCAAGGCATCATGGGAAACATCTTCATCTACTTCATCACTATTATTTCCATCGACAACATTTACCTTGCCCCATTTATGAACAATTACTATAGATCGGTTATGGTTATCACTTCCTGGTGTTAATTGATGTTTAGTAGTGATGTTTCTTTGTTATTGATGAATCCTTTGTACTTACAGATTGTTTATCATATTCATACTCCACTAATCATGTTCATTATTATTTCTTGTAAGTAAAACACCATGTTCTTGAGGATGTGGGAGAAGCCTATTGTTGCTACTCATGTGAAATGGCATAGAGTTTGAAGTTTGATAATATGATGTGGTGTAATTCTCTAGTGGTGATGTGCAAACGTCAACCACATGTTGCTTCACCTTTATGGAATATAATAGAACATTATGATATAACAATTTTAAGAGGGGAAGCCGTAATGATAGAATACTGAAACCCATGTCTAGGAGGGGAAGCCGACCTGAGGAATTAACAGGCACCACACATTTTAATGTCATTGTTAGATGTATGCAACATTTTTCACCATATAAGGTTAGACTCTATCCACACAACAACACTCAAACAAAAAAATGAATGCAAGGGTTAAGGTAGCAACAACTAGGTGATATTTATGCCTTCCTCAAGAATAAATTTCATCCACATAAGAGACACAACCGACTTGTCCCTAGCATAATTAAGGACAAGCGAATTGCATGGTATAGAGACAGTCCTCTGTCGGTCGAATCTTTATGTCTTGAGCAAGGTCCCCAGCCACATGCATATTCTTGAAGAAACAATACTAGATATAGGGTTTGTCCATGTGAACCCTAAGCTATGGCCATTCGGCGGGTGGAACCTATCGGCAACACTACCTACTACTTGAAGATCGCGTCCTCGAGATCTTCTTCCCTCAGTTCGAGCTCTTTCATCATGGCCTCCACCTTGCTCAAGTCGGTGTCTGATCCCATCGCCTACTCATACATGGTTGTCATCTAGCCCAAAGAAATATTTCCTCTAGGCTTGAAACCCTACACCACCATCCCCCAAAACATTAGCCAAGACAAAGCAGCGATGCGGGTTTGCCCCTTGATCAGTCCGAGCAAACACCATAGCGGGGATCAGATGCTAGGAGAGATGACATATCAACACCAACAAAGGTGTTGCCGAGAGGCGGGGGGGGGGGGATGAGAATAGTCATTGTCTGCTACTTCTGTATCTTGCCCATTTGGTCATTTTGCACAGCATCATCATCCTCCGTACCCCAAGTGGGTCGTCTGGTTCTTCCACTAATCTTGCATATCGAATCATTTCTCGACGAGTCATGACATGGTCTTATTCTGATGCATCCGTTTCCGACATTAATTGCCACTACATATGGTCTCCTTCACAACGCTGTCTCTATCCCTCTCCTCTTCCCTGGCCGACGGCTTCATCGGCGGTAAGAGGAGGGTGGACCTGTTTGTTTCCTTTTCTTTTTCTTTGTTTTTGTTTCCCGCTGACAATGACGAGGTGATGGCGCCTATAGCATGTTGAAATAAGGTGTCTAAGGCATCTCTCTTCGGATCTTGGCACTTGATGTGTCTATTCAGGAGAGTAATTCTATTTTCTTCAGATACACATTAAACATTTTTTGAATGATACGAAAAAAATTATTCAACTACGTGAACATTTTACATTGTATAAACATTTTCTAAAAATGTCACAAACTGTTTTTTTAACATGTAAACATTTACGAAAAAGATCACGTACATTTTTTGATTGGCATGAAATATTTTTTTGAAATACAAAAACATTTTTTACCTTGTACAATTTTTTTAAATGTCACTTGCATTTTTTTTGAAATGGTCAGGGGGGGGGGGGGAGGCTCCCCACCTGAATATATTTCAAAAGGCAGCAGATGTTACAAGGTTCACAGATGGTTCGAGAAGAGGAACTCACGCCACAAGCCGGCATGGCCTTTTAAGGAATCAGTCTTAAGCCGATGAGACCAAATAACCAAATCCTCTAAGATAGCTTTTACAGAAACTGAGGTAGCAATGTCAAGCCCTTGGAAAACTTTCTTGTTTCTAGCATCCCAAATTTTCCAAAGAATAAGGAGGAGCATGAGCGTGCGCACTAAAGTGGGTAGCTGTGCGGGGAGGGGGAGCTGAAGAGCTCGCTGAAGGGCGCGGCAGTAGGCTGAATGCCCGTGGCCCTCCAAATCGCACGAGCAGCTGGACAGGAGAAAAAAAGATGACCGCGGTCCTCCACCAAGTGATCACATCTCGGACAGACTTCAGTATCGAGGATGTTCTTTTTGTGCAGGTTGTGCCGTGTGTTCAGACGGTCAAGGTAAAACAACCAGCCAAAGATCATCACTTTTTTTGGCACCTTGGAATCCCAGATGTCAGCGAGCATAGGCTCAACAAGCTGAACCGAGAGGGCAGCATAGGCACCGCGAGTGGAGAAGGCAGCGCCATTGAGCAAGCGGCGAGTATCTCGTACCTAAGAAAGCAAACAATCCTACAACAACGAGTTTAGGGAAGCAAGTTCTGCGATCGCAGTAGAGGTTAGCCGATTACGAAGAGCAAGTTCAATCCCATCCTGCAATATAGTGGAAACCATGGCATTTTGGTTTGTGTGGTGAGAAAAAAGAGCGGGGTAGACTATAGCCAGGGGTTCCGGCTTTAGCCAATGATCTAGCCAAAAGAAGGTGGAACAACCATTCCCAACAGTGCACTGTGAAATCTCTCTCAAACTATGAAGGTGTTTAAAAATGGTTTTGGCAAGGAAGGAACTGTTCTTTCCGTGGCCAATATGAAGGGGTGAATGGTGAAGGACCAAATCCTTCCAAGGGAGGTTAGAAGAGTGTAAAAACTTGTAAGCAAATTTCAGCAGTAAGCAAAAGTTTTGTGCGCGAAGGTTTTTAACACCCAGACCACCGGCAACTCTAGGGGAACAGACTTTATCCCAGGAAACCAGGCATTTAGCCCCAGAGCATGTGTCATCATTGGACCAGAAAAAGGTACGTCTATGCTTATCAATCGCCTCAATAACCTTGATGGGGAGGGAGAAGCAAAGCATAAAGTAGGTAGGGAGACTGTCTAGGACCGCAGAAAGAAGAACAAGTTTACCTCCACGAGATAGGAGGAGCGCACACCACCCAGCAAGATAGGCATCACACCAGCCAATAACCGGTTGGAAGGCAGACGTAGGGAGCTTGTAGGGGGAGGGTGGAAGGCAAAGGTACATTTGAGGGAACGAGGAGATGTTGGTCTCTAGATCTAAGGCCATAGTAGTGGCGTCATCAGGGTCGACATTGAGGGGGATGAAGGTTGTCTTAGTGAAGTTAATCTGGAGGCCGGTGGCCTCAGCAAAACCATCCAGGATGGCCTTTAAATTCTTAGCAGCGTCGGGAGTGGCTTTGACTATGATGAGCGTGTCGTCATCATACTAGAGAACCGGGCAGGGGAGGTTAGGGAAAAGTGGGTGCAGATGTTTACCTTCGCGAAAGGCTTTTAGGATCATTTGTTGTAGGATATCAGCAACAATGATGAACAGATACGGAGAGAGAGGGTCACCTTGCCGGAGGCCATTTTTGCATTGGATCCATCTTCCGGGGATGCCATTGAACATCACTGCGATAGAGCCAGTGGTAAGCAATGATTCGATCCAATCACACCACCGAGGGGAGAACCCTCTGACCCGCAGGATGTGGAGGAGGGAGGACCAGCAAACAGAGTCAAAAGCTTTCCTAAAGTCAAGTTTGACAATGAGGGAAGGGGCTTTCCTCTTTGCACAGCAATGAAGGATATCTGCAGCGTAAAGGGAGTTCTCGGAGATGTTGCGGCCTGAGAGAAAGCCTGTTTGGTCAGCATGGACGAGGAGAGGAATGAGGTGCTTTAGTCGGTTAGTAAGAAGCTTTGCAACCCCTTTGATCGGGCAGTTTTGAAGAGAGATGGGTCGGAAATCAGCAGGTGATCTGGCCTCCTGATGCTTTGGGAGGAGGATAATGAGAGCCCGATTTAAATACGAGATATCACTTGTTTGGGAAAGGAACTCCAGGAAAAATAGCCGATTTTTTTCTTTTAGGATGGGCCAGAATTACCTATAGAAGCCTGGGTCGAAGCCGTCCGGACCCGGACTAGCATTAGGGTTCATAGTGAGGAAGGCATTAGATATCTCATCGTCAGAGAAAGGGGCATCGAGGGAGAGGAGTTGGGGGACAGGGGAAGGATAAAGGTCAGTGAGGGAGAAGGACCAAGATGGCTCGAAGGCAGTGCCGAGGAGGGAAGCGTAGTACTCAGAGAGAATACTTGATTTATTAGCATGGGCAA